TTGAATTAGACCTGCACGCTTCACTGCCAAACCCAAGAACTCAAAAGTCTTGGAAGCATAAGAAAAGGAAAATTATTTGAAAACCATGTGATGTATTTCTTTTAAATCAGATTAACAGTTTGAGGCAATCTGATTTGCCTTATGAGTTTTGAAAATGGTGGGAATGGTCATGCTTTCAAGTTTATTTCCTCAGCCAAGAAGAATAGAAACTTATTTTTGTATAAAATCAAAATGGAGATATCCTGTCTCTGGGAGCTGGGGCTTCTAGAAAAATGTGAAACACTAGGAGACTTGAATGAAAAATGAGAGAGATGAGGGGAAAGTATCTATATAGACCTTTTGCTCATCTTGCAGCAGTTCTGAATGCTGGAAGAAAGGTAAATTTCTTTTATGCTTCTAGGTGCAGATAGGGAAGATGGCACTGTGTTAGATAGTGCAAAGTACCTTTGCCAGCATGGACTTTGGCAGTGTCTTGTTATTGTTTCTTTACTGACTATTTTGACAATCTTTCAAATACTAGAAATGCTGTTTTCTCCCATCATTCTGCAGTTTTGTGTGTTAATGTGCTGTCCTGTAGAGCTGGATTTCTGACTGGTCCATGCTCATCTCTGATCTGATCTTCAAGAGAGTGCTGGCCCTTCTGGATGCCCTAGAAAATGATGAAGTTATGGCTAAAACATTCGCAGAGACAAGAAGATGTCTCTCAGAATCTAGTGATCTCTGCACATCATTGGCTGTGCTTACAGGAAGCAATGATGCTCCAGATGGTAGGAGGCAGCTGATGAATTTACACCAATACATCACTCCCATCTTCTCCAGATCCTCTTTCCAGACATAAACAGCTCTGTCAGCTAAGTCCAGAAATCCAGACAGCTCAGTAGCCTGTCTCCAAAAAGGTCCGATAGTGGATGTGCTGGAGAAAGTAGGAAGGTGAAGGAAGAAAACAGTGATACTTCCCAAGAATGTTCTCCAACCTCCCCTTGAATTGTATTTCAAGGTCTTCCTCACCCAGAGGAAAATCTTTTGTGTTTGATAGCCACATATGTATTTTATTCTATGAATACATCCCATCATTTTGTAATCCTATGCAACCAACCTTGATGTCCCATGGCAAGGAGCTGCAGAGCTTGGCTGCTCGCTGAACCATCACAGAGCTGTGTGCCGCTGTGGGTAACAAGAGCCAATTCCCTCCTTGCTCATTGGATTTCTACGTCAGTTTGAGTTACGTCTGTCCTGCAGCCAGAGGTTTCACGACAGATATATAGACATCGGCAGATGTATCTGTATGTATATACCTACCAGTATATGTAATTATTTTGTCACTGACCTCCACTTCTGTGCATCCTGCCATCACTTCACGGCTATTGGTACCTGAGCTGATTAGATGAACATTTTCTTCACATGATACAGTTTTACTGCTTATTCAACAAAATCAGCCTTTGCTTTTCATTAGAAACAGAAGATTTGAGCATACAATGGAAAGCCTACATTATTCATCAAGTCTGGCTTTCGCTGGTGTGACTGATGGGACTTTGGAGATATTTTAAAATGAGGGGGAGGATAGATGGCCTATTAGCTAAGACTGCACTGCACAGAAAAACACCTTATGACCTTAAGAAGGGGTCTTGGTCCCTTTTATGTGTTTTTCCTTAGTGCTGTTTTCCACCACAAATATTTCTTTCACTGCCTGTCCAAACTTTCTCCCAAATGCTACATCAAGTTCTCACTTCTATTAGATATTTCTTAGCTCAGTTTCTGTCCCCATCTGGAGAAGGAAAATTTTTGTCTTTATGTAGATATGGATATGGTTTCTGAGATGCTCTTTAACAAGAGTCTTTCCTCTCTGAGTCCAAGGACATTTTCATTCCCTGTGTAAGCTCCTGGGGGATTTCATAAGGCCCTTAAGAATTTTTTCTGCCTGAAAGGTCCAGGCATGAGCTGCTGTCTCACAACTTGGCAAGTCAATCCATGGTGCAAGGTTGCAGACAACTTTTCCCTCCAACTTCTGTATGGGATAGTTATCATAATATAAAAGATTGAATAGTGTATAAAAATATCATTATCTGTTATATAATTACATACTGTATGATTGTCTCTCAATACATGTAAACTCACATAAATATATATGTATATTTTGTGCACAGGGATATGTACATAATATACGAGCAAATTTTTGTTCATGCTTACGATCATACTGGTGTTGCTGTTTCAGCAAAAATTATGCCAGTCTTCAACACCCTGCACATATCCTCTTGGTTTCCGCAGTTCTTTCAGTCCCCAAATCCTTACACCCATGTCCCTGACAGCTTTAATGCAGCAGTATTCAAATCCTGATGCTCCTCTTCCCTTTCTGTACACCAAGTGCAAAACGTATGCAAGTGGTTCCCACTCTAACTTGAAAAAGCGTTGCTTTTTTCAGCCCTTCCCAGGGCTTTGCCTCCATTCAGGATGGGGTATGGAGACTGCTCAGGACTCAGGGAAGTGCAGATTTAGCAGGTAACATGCTGGGGCCTTGAGAAATCTCTAGAGAGAGACTTTGAAGAGCCTGCAGGCTGCATGAGCCCCAAGTGCTCTGTGCTCCTCTCTGTGCCTCTGCGGAGCTGGTAGGTCAGAGCTACCGGTTACATTTTCTGCTGCAGCTCTGAAAGGTTTTTTTCATTTAGTTGCACCATGTAAAATTAAACTTGAATGAATAATTACCGCTCTCTACTCAGTGAACTACATTTAATAGGGATGAAGTATAGTACATTAATCTCTGTATGAGAAAAGACACGTTGTTTTGGAGAATCTGGTTGGCTTTGTTTTCGTTGAGTATGTTCCTTAGCACATTTATAACAGGCAAACGAGACTCTTCAGTGTGTGGGGAAAACATAAAATTCAAGAACTCTTAAATGCTTCCAAGATTTTATACTTTCTGAAGAGAATAAACCACAGTGTAAGAGGAGCGTATAGCTTCACCATTCAAATCCAGTGGCCAGTGGCTCATGGAGGAGTGAATAGGTTCAGTTTATCATGTCCCAGCCTTTCTGAGGAACCCAGTGCAGCTCACTGCCTCACTGACCTGAAGACAATGAGATCTTCTCAAGTCTATGAATGGTGACTTAATTTATCTGTGATTTGGGTGCACGTTCTGTAAGACAACCCTGTGCCGAGTTTTGGAGGGAGCATCCACTGCTTTCAACCTCTTGGCTTAAATTAGCTATATATTACTTTAAATTTAGGAAGAAAACAAGTATTTTGCTCACATTTCACTCAGAAAAATTATAATAGTCCCTATTATTGTATTTTGTCTTTTTAACTGCACTCTGCAGCCGCTGAAAGCTGAACTTAATTCTGTCCTGTGTCCACCTCAGAGAGCAAATCCATTAAGCAATTTTGTGCATTTCAGAAATGGTCTATTTTCTGTGAATTATGTAACTGTGCTGAGTATGACTGTAAACCAGGTTTTGAACTGTGGGTATAGACGAGGAAAATTAACTGCAAAGGGTAATTTCAAAGCAGTACATTAGATAAATGATATGTTAGTAGGAAATGCTCTGTGATAAGGAGAGCGTTTTAAAGCAACTTGTTTTATAAATTTTACCACCTGTATTATGTATTCTAGTTAATTTTAATTACACCAAAATATGTCATTTTATCTAAAAGCAGTTCAGTGAGAATGCAGTTATAACCTTTCTAAGGGATGATTCTGCTATACAGAATTTTGTTAGGAAATTAAAACAGGGAAATGAAGATAAGGACTTGCACATTTTATTTTACTCTACATGAGAAATGTTGAATGTGTTTTACGGGAAACAATATCCAAAGCAAAAATGGAAATAGAGAAATAGAGCCTCTGACCCCTAAAGTAATAAGCTTGGATAAATTATTATTCTGGTCTGTGTTCCCAAAATAGAGTTGAGTGAAATGTTACAGTTCTTAAAAGAGGAAATATTAAAATGTATTACCTTTTTTATCCCAAAACTGTAAAATCACTACCCTTCACCAAGTGGCTGCTAGAAGTACCTGGAATCAATAGCAATACCACCACTGACTGATTGATTTAACTTGCCTTTTAATAACTGCTACAATAAATTGCTTTGATATCATTGGGCTCTGAAACAAAACATACCCTTCATACCATGGTTTCTGCTTCAGGATTTGAGGTGTCAGACACAACCTGCATGCCATGATCCTCACCCAGCTAGCCCAAAATCCTCAAAAACATGGAGGGTGAAGGTCAGGTCCTCAGCATTAGCTTTTCTGCCTACCAGTCCAGAAATAGCCTTTGCATGTAATTTTCACATCTGGCTGAAGTTATTTATATGTGCAAGTGTCTAAGGTGTCAAACCCTTTCTCACTAAACAAGTGATTAAATAGAGACTTAAGCGTAAACCTCTACTTAAGTGTATGTGTTTGGGTTTAGAACTAGGCTTCTGGATCTGTTTAAGTTTTAAAGCCAGTTTAAAAGTCTCAGGGTGTTTTTTGGTGGGTTTTCAGAAGAAATGTTCCCACTCACACCAAAGTAAAAATGTTTAAACATCCCTTAAGGATGTGGTCCTTGGGCCCTGGAAGCTGGCTCTTACACCACAGTGCAAATCTTTGGTGACTTAGGAGCCTCGATGTCCTGAGCTTTTGGTGAGGGTGGGGGTCCTAAGTCACTTTTGAAGAGATTCTCAGAAATACTCAATTACTCAATTGCCTGAACATTAGTTAAGTGCTTATTATATTCAGGAGCCTTTGAAACATGTATTGTCCTAGAGAGACCTTTACGATCTGGCTTTTATGCTTTGTGACACTTCACAGAGCAATCTATAAATACCTTAAAAACCTGGGGCTACTGCTAAGGATACTCAAGTACCTCAGATACTTTTAAAACTTTTATTCTTATTAGTTTTCACAGTTGGCAGCTTATGTTAGAATAATTGGAAGTAAAAGACAGTTTGGGAAGAAATCATTTGTGTGCTGAAGAGCATGGTATAAGCTTTACCTTTCAACAAATTTGTCCTGCTGTTTTTCAGGTAAAGGTGATGTGTTTGGTGATATCTTCTGGAAGGAAACCAGTCTGGCCCACGCGTGTGCCAATGTACGGGCTCTGACATACTGCGATTTACATATTATTAAACGAGAAGCCTTGCTTAAAGTGTTGGACTTTTATACTGCTTTTGCAAACTCGTTCTCAAGGAATCTCACGCTCACCTGCAATTTGAGGAAACGGGTAAGATGACAGCTCTTGTTTTCCCCTCTCTCTCACCAAGAGATTGCACACCCTCACAGGCTGTTTGCAGTGTTTAACAGCCCTCAATTTACTTTTGATGTTTTCAGGTCATTGCAGATAAACTGGCCTTTCAATAAATGTTGTCACTGCTCATTAATGATGGCTCAATAAAAGTTTCCCGTAGGTTTGCAGCTCTGAGAAGCAGCCCTGGCAGAGTGACACATGAATTACATTTCTTTTCCTTTTCTTCCCAGTTGCTGTGTTTTGGCTTTTTTTCCCCATTACATAATGTATAAAGTTGTATTTTATAGTTGGATAGAATACAGATTCTGGATTCCACAGCAGTGAGGTTTCCTCTGACCTGCTAAGATGTAGGTCAGAGGACAGTCTGATGGATCTGCATGGCATAGACCAACTAAGAGAAATTCATTGATGCTAAATAAATAAAATGTAGTCAGCAAAAGTATTGTATTAATACCTGCTTCTCTCACTTTCATAATTTAGAATTTTAATATGGCAAGGTTAATATAGCTTGGTAGTGAATTTACATTCACAGCTCACTTCTTAAACTCCCCTGCTCATTTTATAATCAATCAGCAATGCTCACTATCCATTAGACCTTTCAAAGAACACTCCATCTAAAAATTAACTAGCTATAAGGAGGTATCTTGAAAACAGGTTAAGGGATTCTTTAATTTGCATTGCGGCTGCAAAATTTAATCTTTACAATTTTTTAAAGATTGATGAGGGTTATATAAATTTCATTTGCATAGAGAAATCTCATAACAATGATTTATAGATTATTGAGCATTAACTGTGATCCTCTAGCTGCTCAAAAGCATTTTTCTGCAACTATACCTACGGCATCTCACCTGATAATGTACCAAGGCTACCTCAGTATTTTACAAGACAGTTTCAGCCTCTACAGTAACAGGGGTTGAACACAACTTGAATTTTACTTTTCTGAGTCTACTTTCTCTCTAGACACTGGAGTATTTACAAATGCTTCTTTCAAAGTTTTCATTTTTAGTGCATTCCTTCTGTTCATTAATATACCAAGGATGGCACAAAATACCCATGGCAAAAAGCAGATGCAAAGGGATTACAGTCCCTTTCTGTCTGTGCTGGAGCCTGAAAGAGCTGAGTTATAATCAGGTTTGGTTCCAGCTTGTCAGCTTACCTCTGACTTGAAGCTTCTCAACTCTGCTTCAGACCTGAAGAAGGTCCTTGGGGCTTGAAAGCTGGTTTGGGGTTTCTAGCTTACTGCTTCTCTGTTGATAAGATGTCCTCCAAGCCCTGACTTCTGCATCCCCCCCTTGCCATCTTGCCTACCGGTGACGCGCCACCAGCTGCAGTCCCACGATGGCAATTCTGCTCAGACATTCCTGAAGGAGATTTCATGGGACAAGATAATGCCACATGCATTGTGCAAAATGTATTATTTTTTTTAAAAACTGTGAATCTGTCACTTCAGCTAGCTTCCTGGGACACCGCCATTAGCTGTGACAAGGCTAAATGCAGCAAAAACACCTACGTACCTTTTCCTGACAGGGCAATGTGCTAAAGTTCAACTCTGTAATCCAGGGATGCATATGGGGAATAGCCTTCTGGCTGGGTTTTCATGGATTTTCTTCTGTCCCGCACACCTATTTTTTAGGAAAATTGGTTCCACTGCAGCGCCCTGCCCTAGGGAGTCATCCAGGGGGAAAGGAAATGTTGGTTGGGTGCATGTATGGGCATTACATGAGAGCAGATGGAGAGTCAAAGAAAGGTCGTGTCAACGTGGTACATGCAGTGTGTTCATTTCACTAAAAGCTGGGTGATAACGTCCAAGCTAGTCACCAGTCACCTTTATAAGCCCATGAGGAATGGTTGCTCCAGCAGGAAACCATCTGACCCCTCTTAAGTGCCCAGTCTGGGATGCGAAAATCATCCCCTTTCTGTTGACTTTTGAGAGAGTCCTTGACAACTAACTTTTAAATACCTAGGGTACATCAGGTGAACTCCACCTATGATGTCTCCTACAGTTTTACTGAAGAACTATCTTGAGAAAAGTCTTACTTCTAGTATTGCAGTAAGATGTGCTGAGCCACAGCCTCCTTTGCAGAAATTCTATGTACTGTTCCTAGGCACAAAATAGATCATGCTACTTCCAACACCAGGGACACAATCTAAGTCCTGTTACATAAAGTTATTCAGGGGATTGTTTCAAGCCTCGTATCTGCTCAAAGCATATGTGATTCCCTGTTGGGTACAAAAGTGTTTGACGGTGAGTTCATCACTTAGGAAAAGCAGTGCCATCGAGGACAGTTTCATCAGGCGAAGAGAAAGCAGTTGTTCAGGCAGTGAGACCAGGCTGACAGAGCTGCATTGTACTGCAGCAGTTTGTGCTCACGTCATGTAATCTAAAAGGAAAGAAAATCATTGTCTCCTTCAATTGTTTTCAATATAAATAAATATACTTTGCATTTTTTCTACATAGTCATCACTCATAAGGCTTGACATCTAATTATAACAAAAATACACTTATTGTGGTTCTGGGCTCAAGAAAATGGCTGTTCTCACTGTCAAAAATATATAGACAGAATTGTTCTTTCACCAAGTCTGCACTTCAAAATACAGAGACATGTATGTGGATGTACACACAGACACATCTTTGTGTGGCATCGTCCCTCAACGAGCACTTAGATGTAGTCCACAGACTGCAAAACAATTTAGATGTTCAAAAGGCTAATAAATTAATAATAGTACTGAGCACAAAATGTTGCTTCCATATGACAGGGACGAGAAAGTCACGCTGAAGTGGGAAAATAATATTTTCTCACTCCCAAATAACATTTAGAGGCCTGGCATGTTGAATGACCTACTTAAGGCATCTTCTATTATCAGCTCTGGATTTTTGTTTTCTTTTTTTGTGTGTTAGGTAGCTTAGCCATCACGCTGCATTTATGAGCCTCTAAAGTGAGCATGCCTGCTAGCTTTTTAACCTGTAGTCATCTCTCCTGCCCAGGGTGGCGAGGTGACTTTTAATTCATAATTGCAAAGTATTGCAGCATATCATGTTCCGAGCTCTGAAATCTTTATGGCAGATCTAATGTCACTAATACACACTCCAAGGCAGAACCAGGACTTTGAACATTATTCCTAAACAGTGAAAAATAATTAATCTGGAAAGATATTCTTTAAATTCACGAGAGTACATAGATGCCTCTGAGGACTGAAAGTTATAAAGCAGTGTTTAGAATGAGTCTTCAAAGAGTTAATTGCTGCCTTCTGATGTTGGAAGAGAATATTAATAATGTCTAATTCATTAAGTGCCTTTCAAGATTTCACACAGCTGGAGGAGGGCCTCTCTGCAAGCTTGAGCCATGGAGCTTGGTCTGAGGAGGGGAGCCAAAACAGATTCCTAGGAGGCTCAGACCCATATAGATATGTGTACTTTTTATTGATGGTCAAAACTCAGGAAGGAAGGCCTACATCAAATGTACTCCCACAGAAAACAAGTGTTCAACTGAAATATTTTTAAAGCTTTCTTTTTCCTTTCCTCATCATTACTACCCTCTCCAGCTGACGACTAGACCAACACAGTCTGTGCAAGTGCAAGAGAACAATCAAATTGAAATTTTGGCCTTCCTGAAATCACAGCTGAAGTTCTCCTGTGCTTCAGTAAAGCAAAAATTCACCCCACAGCTTTTAAGGTACAGTCACATAGTGTTGTTTTCTACCATGAGCAAAATGAGCTGTGTTAAAGAATTGAGTTGGGAACAGCCATGGAAGAGGATGATACAGGAACTGTGGTGCATTTGGTCCTGGAAAATGTGCCAAAGTGAGCCAAAGAGATGTGAAGAGAAATGAGTGCCTTTAAGGCAGTGAAATACAATCCAGAGGGCTTGGTTCCTTTCTCTGTGATGCCCTTAAAGCCAGGGACAGCAATGTGAGAGGCTGATGTTATCTCATTCCTCCAGCACAGTGTGAATCTCTGAGGCGTTTTAGTGGGTGAGGATATCAAACTGCCTTAACACACATGTCCAGTTTTTCTTTCTATTTCAGACTGGAATAATTTCTTTTTAAATTGGCTTTCTGTTTTTGCTTGAGGTTTTAATGAATCACATGTTTCTTGACTGAATCATTTGTCATTTCTAGGTCACCTAGTTTTTAGAAAAACTTTATTTTAGTTTGAATTCTGCATTCATGTCTCCTAAAAGTGAAGGTTGTACCAAGGTTCATTCAGGATCCCCCTTCTTTTTCCTTTTTAAGACTCTCCAGATGGTGTGCTATATTACAGACTGTCCTGATGCAGAAGCAATATCAGAGGCAGGAAGCATTGCTCTGCCGATTGGCCCTTTTTTTTGAACCTGAGGGCTTTTGCAGGTTTTGAGCTCTGAAGGCCCTTCACAGTGATGGCAGCTTAATTCAGGATTTTTTGCACTTAGTCAGCTGGTGCTCGCACTCAGTCCTGATCAGTTGTGGAGAGTGACTTGGTCACACAGGAAAGGATCAGAGCATCGTCCTTGAGTAATTCTGACAAACAGAAAGCTGTGGGGTGACTGTGGAGCAGGACGTGGTGAGCACCTCCTCTGCCCAGTGGTCCATCTGCACTGGCAGGTCTATCATCCATTTTCACCTTTTTTTAATCTGTTATTGGGAGCTTTCTCGTTTTTTTCATCATTATTAATGAAGAGAAGGAGGGGAGAAAAGCATGCTGCTTAGGGAGCTGCTGTGACTTATAATGTAGATCAGATAGTGGGGGCTTCAGTGAAATCCTGGACTCTCATCCTCTGGTGGGGAATGTGTCCACACCCAGGCTGGTATTTTGATCAATCCCTGTCTCACTCCTGGTACTTTTCTTTTGCGTGTGCAGTTTATTCGTCTGCTGGTTTGAGCCAGTGGCAAGGGTCTCAGGAAGTGCAGGATCAAGCCTCTAGAAGGGCAGATCCAACAGATCAATTTCTATTATGGCTTATATGGCCAACAGGCTTTTGGCATGACTTAACTCAGGG